AAATGCACATTGTAAATACATGTAGAATCACCGGAGGCAAACTCCGATGTCTTTCATTTGTCCCGTGTTTACAGCACATGTAATTGTTGTTTCAATCAAAGTCACGCCCACCCTGAATAAACCGACTCCCTCTGAAAACCGACCATAGATCCCAGTCCCAGTCATGGTCGGTTTTGACAGGTTTTACTGTATATGTATTGCTTCTTAATATATTGATAATATCTGATGCGAACGCTTAATTTGACGCCCAGTTGTTGGTCTAAACACAATCCCTGACTGTGGTCTAAATAACACTTGAAGCAACACTAGTTTACGCAATGTGCGAATATTCTCTAGCAGTCTAATGAATATTCAACATTCATCCAATGCTTAACAAGTCTAGGTTTGAATATCTCTATGACAGGCGACGATATAACGTACTCCGGTATATAGTTTCACTTGTTAACAATTCTGAAGATGAAGCAATGCCGTCTCAGTTCGAATTCCTTGCCATACGACCTTTTCTTCAACTTTGAACTACGTTCTCTACCTCCAGCTGCGTGCAACCAACAATGCTCAGTCTGGTGCCTTTGGTATGTGTGTTTGTACACCTCAATCATTCATATTACGTCTACACCCTTGCAAAAGTCACGGTTCAACTTGAGGTGATATTGCCATCAGCATTAAGAAAATGATGCATTGTGAAAATATGAATAACTTCCTTTGGTTGTTTGTTGCCTGGATGAGACGCTTAAACTTTAGTCATACCCCGCGTCTGACAAGCATTCACCGACTATGATTGATAGATTCATTCAGAGCCAACGAATGTGTAAAAGCACAGCAAGGTGTTCGTTCTAGAGCCTAAATGCATATTAATACTATATTATAATAGTGTAAAAGCTTGTAACGAATAAAATAATAATCCAAATGAACATGATTATACAACACTTGACATCCCTCTATCACGTGATTTGTCTCGTAGAACAAGTTAGAGGAAATTAACACGACTGATCTATTCTGCTGCGCCCTCTAGTGGTAGTACCGCTGCAGACCAATAAAAAGGCAGCTTTATGAATACGCTGCAAAACATTTCGTCGTGTTTTCACGTCGGAACAAGAAATAAACACAAATAAACTCCCCAATGACTTTTCCCAACATTAACTCGATAATTCGAATATTAGATCGAGGACAAAATAAGACCCTGGGAAGCCGCCACACGGGCGCGGGACAGGGTACGTCGAATCGACATTTGATTCTACCTCAGTCGTCAAATTCATGTTGAATTTCCAGCACTGAAAGTCACAAGCATACAATCTGTATCGAGTTTTTTTTTCAGAAATATTCATTCAGCCAAGAGGAAACTGGCAAAACTGTTCATAAATAACACGAGAGTCGTACACAAGAATTTCAAACCCAATGAAACCGCTCCGTGAGTCCGATTTTGCTGTAAAACAAATACCAGTAGTTATATGCCATTTTAAAGAATTTGTGTCAAAACATGAATTAACAGAATCTTAATTTAGCTAAAGTGCCAAACATCTCATTGTGGGAACATGCGTTATTTTAAATTAGCGCCATCTCGAATTGATAGAATTGCGGGATTAGCTAAAATAACGCGCTAGCTAACTTGAAAACGACATGTTTTTTCACATGTTTGCGTCTCCGTCTTCTGTTTTGTAAATTCCACAGAATCAAATTTGTTTTATCATGGTTTGGTAAAATTATAGATTTGATTGTTTGACTATTTTCTGCTAGATGACGGATATTGTTTTTGCTTTACGTTGCAAACCCATTTGCCTATGCGTGAAACAAGACTTCCAGAACAAGCATAAACATAACATAAACATAACATGTTAGCCAGATAGATATTCTATCATACATACACATATACACAAACTGTTCATGATAAATTCATTATTATTATTTCAAATAATCATTCCGAAGTAATAATATTACATGTCACGTGACAACATTAGTAATCATAATATGCAATGGAAACATCACTTAGTTAGACATTTCAGCGTGGACACGGTAAACTCCGCCAACTTTCTTCCAGATGATGAGGTTGTTGTAATGCTTTCCATCGGTCCCATCACTTTTTCTTGTTTCCAATCTGGCGATACAATAGGCCATCTCACCATCGGGACTTGCGGAAACGTCAAGGATCTCGCTCTTATGAACCACAGTGCCCTCTTTTTCGTATTCTTCGCACAGCTCCACTAGTTCTGAAAATAAAATTGAACAAGCAAGATGTGATGTTTGGTGTGGAATATTACTGTGATACGGTGCGATAAACATCGTGATATTCGTGTCTTCATTATCCACGCCGGTGCGAGGGAACGATTGTTACCACAGCGATACGAACGTCATTTCAGACTGGATAATTATTTTCACTAATATCCAGGGTAATATCCCACCGCCACGGCCATGTTCACCAACCATCGTTGCCAGCAAAAGTCCGTTTAATCGAACAACTCTACACCACTGACTAAACTCAGGGGCGGACATCCGGGCATTTTCACCGCCTGGCAACCATCACGGTAAAAAACAAAGGCCGAAAACTCTCAGAAAACGGAATTTTGGGATGGTTGTTGAGACTCCCCTGAACAGTGTAACAAGATTAGCGCTGCGTGTGCAACATATATAAATTTGGTTGTTCAGAATTAATTCAAAGCTGTGTTTGTGATGTTTTCACTGGCTCTTCGACCGGCGTTTGACGCCAGCTCAGCCCATAGAAACACATGGTACAGTGATGCGCGCCTTAGCAACATAGAACGTTCTGTGATGTAGCTCCGCCTCCGGGGATATCTTTGCAGATTCAGCAAGAGTGTATTTAGTAAGTGCGCCCTCTTTGGCAATTTGGCATCCCGACATTCTGTGTTATTTTGTCATTGCCATAATAAACAACAATGAAGGCGTTTCCAAGCACATACTTGACATCATGATGTATACCGAATCACGCGTAAGTCACGTATAAGCACTTTCACGATGTTGTTAGTTATCTACATTAGGTGTTTCTTGCCAAAAGCCGAACATCACCGAGTAGTGATGTAGCTTCGGTTGTGATCGAGTTTTCAGCATTATAGGATGTCGCCAAGTCACGTGGGGTTCCGTGTTCGACGTCGGAAGATGAACTACTAATCACGGTATATTAATGAATGAATATTCGATGTGATCCGTACTCCTGGGTTTTTTCATGTATATGCATTAGGTGCCTCCATTTCGAATGTTTGGCCAAGTTGGTGACTCAAAAATTGCAATGCATCAAGTAGCAGTATTTGTTCTGAAAATCTATAACGCGTACGTACCAGTAATTGAGAACTAGTATTTTTAGTATCTTTCGTCATTTCGCTAAAATGCGACTATGCCATTAAGCTATAATTCATATTGCCAATACCAAACTTACCTAAACGTCGCCGAAAAAGAGTCAATTTCTGATATTAAATGAGTGAACTTACTGTCACGACCAGTCTGGATATCACCATAAACTAATTTACAGTCTTCAGTGTAATTTTCCTTCGCTAGAGTCTGGTAGTCACCAGACTTCCAGAGTCTCTCGATATCTTTATATCTCGCAGTTAATGTTGCTTTCAGGTCAGCGGCCATGTTCATTCAGCGTGCAGTCTGTACACAGTAGTTGCACAACGTCAATCCGGGGATGACATTAAAATACTAGTATACCGGTACCTTTCCATTATTTGTACGGGCACATGGACCTCTTCATTATTTATAAAGGGGTGTTGCAATGTTTGTGAATCCACAATCATTTCATGAATTTATTATATAAAAGTATGAAATTAATATAAATGAGTACCTACATAACATGGCGTCACGTCCTCCATATGTTCAATTTACTTCATCATTATAATCCTGCGCGTCATCCTATTACCGCCCCCCCTTCATCGATGAAATGGTATGGCTTTGGTAAAGGTCATAAGAACGTACGTTGACTTATCATACAAAGGGTATTTCAATCCTAGGGGTGCGTTGTGTCAATAATGTTGTCTGCTACCCTAAGTTAGAAATTTTAAAATGACATGTAAATGCAATATGATCTGGGATCTGAAAAGCATTGTACTTGGTAAATGTAACCAAAGTATTGCCTATCTTAAAAACAAATTATTTCATGGCTGTCCAAGTCCGAAAACGACACAATTTAGATGCCATCTGTTTGTATACTTCGGGCATTCTTTCACTCGACTTTTGCTTTTTATTTTCAAAAGTTTAACTGCGGTGTTCGATATGAAATTACTCATAGAACATTTGCAATAAAATTTACGGACTTTGCATTGTCCGTAACATTGTATGTTATTTCCTAACAGTAGTACGTTGAGGCCGTGTGATAATTTATTAAAACATAACGGGCTTTCATTCGACTTTTGATTATTTTTTTTTATCTTTTAACTGCGGAATTTGGTAGAACAGCTACTCGCGTCAAATATACAAACAAATTTACCAACTTTCCAATCGCTTTCAGTTTCACAACTTTGTACGATCTTAAATGACGAGCGCCACCACTGTCGGCTACAATCGACAAGAATATATCGAAATTGCGTTCACAATTTCAAATTTCTTTGAATTATATCGGCAGTTATTTGATATTTATGAGATATCTAATTTCAATTTGTGTCACTAAATAAAAAAAAATAGTTTTGCTCATTCATATGCTCTGGTGGTCTCCCTTGAAAATACTTGCCACTCCCGATGGAGCTTAACATTCTATCCTGGCCAATCACATACTCACTCTGTTGGGGATTCTGATGAATTTGTTTCTGATTTTCGGTAATTTAATTCTGGATACATTTCATAATTTATATTGATTGCTCTGGTATGTTTCCAATTTGACCTATGGCCTTTACATGCTTCTGACGGCAATTCGACGATTTGAAGCCCATTTATGTGAATTTTCGTCACTTTTTAGAACTTTGCACGACGCGTTTCGAAAATACAAAAACTTAGTTCAAGTTTCCAAACAAATCTAGAAACTTTGCAATCATTTACACAAATTTGTACGCCATTTATTAACACTATACGTTAAGTTTGTATGGCCATCTGTTTTGTGTATTTTGGGCATCCTCTCATTCAAATTTTGCTTATTATTTTCAAAGGTTTAACTGCGGGATTCGATATGAAATCGCCGACTTTGCAATCATTGTTCGCAACTTCACATGCTATTTCCTAACAGTATACGAGGCCGAGGCCGCATGATAGTCTGCTAAAACATAACCGGCTTTTACTCGAATTTTGATTATTTTTCTAATTTTAAACTGCATGACAGATGATCAAATCCAGTGGATTAGGGTGATACAGCATATAAATTCAGATCAACAAATAACTAACCTGACAATGTCACGCTCAACAACTGTTAATTACTGAAACTTCTGACTTTACTGCATTGTTCCCGACGTTTTTCACTGTGTACATTCATGTACCTCAGCTCTTCTAGTTGATGAAAGATGATTTTATTTACGAGTCTGATTTATTATTGATAACGACGTTTAAACATTAGACATACCCCGCGTCTGACAAGCATTCACCGACTATGATTGATAGATTCATTCAGAGCCAACGAATGTGTGAAAGCACAGCAAGGTGTTCGTTCTAGAGCTAAAATGCATATTAATACTATATTATAATAGTGTAAAAGCTTGTAACGAATAACATAATAATCCAAAAGAACATGATTGTAAAACACTTGACATCCCTTTATCACGTGATTTGTCTTGTAAAACAAGTTAGAGGGAAATTAACACGACTGATCTATTCTGCTGCGCCCTCTAGTGGTAGTACCGCTGCTGACCAATACTTGATAAAGGCAGCTTTATGAATACGCTGCAAAACAGACTATTCGTCGTGTTTTCACGTCGGAACAAGAAATAAACACAAATAAACTCCCCAATGACTTTTTCCAACATATCCAGGAGATGTTTTTTTTTTTGGGGGGGGGGGGGGCTAACTTGATATTTCGAATATTAGATAGAGGACTAAATTAGACCCTGGGAAGCCGGCACACGGGCCGGCCCGGGGACAGGGTACGTCGCATCAACATTTGGTTCCACCTCAGTCGTCAAATTCATGTCAAATTTCCAGCACTGAAAGTCAAAAGCATAGAATCTGTAGCCAGATTTTGTTTCAGAAATATTCATTCAGGTAAGAGAAAACTGGCAAAAGCCGGGCACAAGTTTCAAACTCAATGAGACCGTAAACCAATCCTGATTGTCCTAATAAACGTGCTGTGAAAATAAAATAAAATACTAGTTTAATGCTATTTTAGCGAATTTGCGTCAACACATGAAATAAAAGAATCTTAATTTAGCTGAAGTACCAAACATCTCACTAAGAACATGCTCTTCTTGAAATTAGCGACATCTTGAATTGGTAGAATTACCGTGACGGATTAGCTAACTTGAAAACGACATGTTTGCGTCCTAGTCTTCTGTTTTGCAAACTCCACAGAACCATTTTTTTTTTATCATGGTTTGGTCAAATCATGGAACTATAATAGTTCCATGGTCAAATTATAGATTTGATTGAATAAGCTAAAACATAAAAAATAGCATTTTGGCCTGATAGATATTTTGTCATACTTGCACATATACACAAACCGTTCAAAATAAATTTATTATTTAAAATAATCATTCTAATGTAATAATATTACATGTGTCACATGATAATATTAGTGTTTCAGATCAGAGGATTGGCTGCGCACGCGGGAGCACACAATGAATCGTGATGAGAATGTGCAGCGATTAGCTATAATTTGCATTCTATTTTATACATAGAAATAACGAGACTTGTGCACAAGAATTATAACTAATACTCACTTTGATGCACATATAAAGAAATCAACGACTTCAGTCTATTATCCATTTATGTGAAATACAAGTATTCTCTTATTACGTAGTTACATAAAACTGAGATGTCCTATTGTAGTCCTGCTGTGTTATGTTACGCTCCTCAAATCTTGGCATCGAAGATACTACAGCTACCATCCACATCAAGTCCATAGAGCTTCTAACACTGCCTATGTCACCAGTAACCGATCCGGGTAGATATGATAGAGACCATTCACCACCAATTTGCCAATTTTCAAGAACGTCCCCACAAACTTGACACGCCAGTTGTCACCATACTTACAAAGCCAAAGTGGGTATACAGTCATTCCTTTCTGTTCCATTCAGAAAAGGATAGAACCACTGAAACCAACAAACTCGTCCTGTCTGTACATAGTTATCATTGAGATAAAGCTGGTTGTACTATCAGTCTTGTTCTGCAGCATAAGCGAGGTGACGAAGAGCCTGGAATGCTCTTACAAACTGCTTCGACGGTTCGTGGTGTACTGACTTGCCACGTTCACCAAACAACTCACATGAATTTGCATAACAAGGCAACAACTCACGTGAATTTGCATAACATGGCCTCATGCACCACACATGCAACTTCATATTCTCATGGTCATTCATTAGCAAATACCCACACCACAATCCTGACAAGTTGGCGTAGGTGGCGCCCTGGGCTCAGTGGGTCAGTGGGTGGGGTTCGCAGCAGTCAAGAGCGCCACCTATGCCAACTTGTCAGGCTACCACACCACGCGCTGTACATATCAAATACAACACTTGACTTGGTCTTGGCATGGAAGGAACGTTGGTCTAGGCTTGACCCGGGGGGTCAGGGCAGTTTTATTTCTAAAATTATTTTACATTTACATAGTAGAAAACTAGACTGATTTCTCTACAACAATTAGCAATCATATGCAATTGGAGCATCACTTTTCAAGGTGGACACGGTAAACTCCGCCAACTTTCTTCCAGATGATGAGGTTGGTGTAAGGCGGTGCATCGGTACCATCACGTTTCCTTGATTCCAATCTGACGACACAATAGGCCATCTCACCATCGGGGCTTGCGGAAACGTCAAGGATCTCGCTCTTATGAACCACAGTGCCCTCTTTTTCGTATTCTTTGCACATCTCCACTAGTTCTGAAAATAAAAATGAAACAAGCAAGATACAACATGATGTTGTGACGTTTGGTGTGTAATATTACTGTGATACGGTGCGATAAACATCGTGATATTCGTGTCGTTATCTTATCTTATGCATGTTTAGTAAATACCGGGAGGGGGGCAATACATTTAAACATATCTTACAATCAAAAGATAAAAAATACTATTATAGCCTTCTATGTGTACTAGAGTAACAGTAAATGAATAAACAAAAGAATACACTCAGTCACACTTATTTAACTTTTTATTTACTCAACTTTCGCCTACTTACTTTTTTTAGTCATTCATTATTAACTTTATTACATTTTAAACACCAAATTAGAAATGTAAAATTTTCTAAACGGTTGTAATAAAGCTGTTATCTTATCTTATCTTATCTAATGGGGA